ACCTAATCGACCGTTCGATCCTTCACTGGTAGCTATGATGCGCAATAACCACCAAGTGGCAGACGCTCAACACAAGAGCTGCCAAGCTGCAGTGACTTTGTAGCTTTGGTTCTTGGGTGACACACCCAGAACCAGAGAGGAGGGGAGCCAGATTCTGGGATGCGTCACCCGAGAACCACCCTCGCAATCCGGGACCCCTCAGGGGATGTCAGAAAGCCGGTTTCAGCCCGATCCCTGCAGGCCAGGCCAAGGGACCCCCCCACTGGTGCACAAATCCGTGCACCGGGCCTCTAGTCAAAATACAAAAGAACATTTAAATCTGCCTAGGCAATAGCGATCTGCAGTGTTGCATACAAAAACCAGGTCAGGGTTAGCAGGTTCCAGGAGGTAATATGTGCTTTCATCCTGGAAGCTTTCACCCCTTATCAGAACCACAAGACTATATTCCAAAGTTGTGAAATAAGCCCTTGGTCCCTAGGGAAACAGGCTCACCCTCTTGTGATGTTAGCCCTGTGGGTTTCCTCTGGTACTCTGGCCAGAGCCAAGAAGCCAAATTTGAATTTATTCAGTAAATGCTTGAATTCTTGCTCTGAGTAAAATACTGCCAGACCTTAGAGTTTACAGTGATGGACAAGATCAGTGGAATCTCTACAAACCTCATGGAGCTTCTATCCTGGTGGTGTATATATAAATCATAAGTACCAATTGTGTCCTATAAGCAAAAATATAGGCTAAAAGACTTTGCTACTCAGAACTCTGTTTCCCTCTCATTGTCATCTCCTGGGAACTTGTAGAAATATGGAAGCTCAAACGCTACCTCAGTCATCCTTTATCTGCATTTTAAACAGATCCTTAGATTATTTGTTTGTGCATTAAAGTGTGCTAAGCACTCCTACAAGAAATCTTGCATCTCTTAGAAGGCCTCCCTCTACATTCTGCCTAGAATTGAATGGAGGCCTGGCCTTTCCAGGTCCCAAGGGCCCTGTGTCAATATTGATGTTTTGTTTTGTTTTTTTCTTTGTTTCCCATGCTTACGCAGCTGAGAAGAAATGGCTTTGGGAAGAATGGCTTCTTGCAAAGCCGCACTTCTAGCCTGTTCTCCCCTTGGAGAAGCACGTGCAAAGCAGAGTTTGAGGATTCAGACACAGAAACCAGTAGCAGTGAAACATCAGATGACGATGCCTGGAAGTAGGCACATAAATGTTCACAGTTAAATCTGACCCATAAACTCAGCTTGTGTGCTCACGGAGAATACAAAAAAAAAAATCTTTTCCTTTCATGTTGTTGTTGTTGAATATTTCATGCACAAGGGAAATAATCATATCCCAAAGAGAGAGCGATTGGCTTGTTTAGTTTTTGTTGTTTTTCTTTCCTGTTATTTGCTTAGTAGAGAAAATTTGTGTGGTGAGAAATATTTTTAAAATACACACACAGTATATATGGGGCGATGCACAAGTGGGAGCTGACAGTGCAGAGAGGAGGAGACACTGGTCTGCAGCAATAGCTTCCACCAGCCCTTGGGGCACTCACCCCTGTGCTCAAGCAATCATTGTCAATGACAAAGTGACTATTGAAGTTATAATTGTATTAAATTAATGCTAATAATTTGGATATTTTATTTTATTTTTGGCTGCTCGGGTAACGTTAGCCCTTAACCAAGCAATGTGGGGGGTTTTTTTGTTTGTTTGTTTCTTTTTTTTCTTTTTGGGTACAGCTGTAAAATATTTGGATATAGGAAATGTGTTATTCTTGCAGCCTTGATATTCAGGGTGGATTGTAAAATATAAATTTTTGTGAGATTTCAAAGATTAAGATTATTTTGATAACATTATTTACAGATTTAAAAGATGTGGTTATCACAAGTCTTGAGGGGGAAACTACTGCATAAAATAACTAACTTGGAATAAATATTTTGCATCAGTTTGGATTGTCTTGTGTAAGAAGTATATTTTCTTTAAAATTAGATTGAGTGGTTTCTTTTTTAGGGGAACTACTTCTGGCAGTCTGAGGAACATCTAAATTCACACACACCTGTTTCTCCTTTTAGCAGCTACTTTTTTGAAAAACCTGTGCAATAAAATTATCAGTAATGAAATCAGAAACCCAAGTTTATTTCCAGAAACTGTAATTCACTGCCCATGTATTTACCAATGTATGTATATTAAGGAAGGTCTGTGCCTCAACTTTCCTGCCAAATAAGAACATGTGGGAAAGGGTTTGAGCCAATGCTGGCTGGGTGAACAGTGGAAGAGACAGATTTTTTCATTCAACAAATACTCCCCAGGTTCTTGTGTGTCCCAGGTATTGTGCAAGGCTCTGGGTGATACAAGGAGTGCCCGGACCAGTAGGGAAGAGAAGACACAGTTATGTTAAAAATGAAAATTTAACCCTGGCCAGGTAGCTCAGTTGGTTAGAGCCGTAGTCGGCAAACTGCGGCTCACGAGCCACATGCGGCTCTTTGGCCCCTTGAGTGTGGCTCTTCCACAAAATACTACGTGCGGGCGCGTGAACAGTGCGATTGAAACTTCGTGGCCCATGCGCAGAAGTCGGTTTTTGGCCTGGGCGAGTCTATTTTGAAGAAGTACTGTTGATATTTGGCTCTGTTGACTAATGAGTTTGCCGACCACTGGGTTAGAGCATCATCCCCATATGCCAAGGTTACAGATTTTATTCCCAGTCAGGATACACACAAGAATCAACCAGTGAGCCTGATCAGTTGTGGCTCAGTTTGTTGGGCATCGTTCTGTGCACTGAAAGGTTTCTGGTTAGATTCCCAATCAGGGCACATGCCCAGTTTGCAGACTCGATTCCCCGGTAGGGAGTGTGCAGGAGGCCGTCAATTGATGTTTCGCTCTTTCTCTCTAAAAATCAATACAAATATTTTTTAAATCAACCAATGAATGCATAAATAACTAGAACAACAAATCAGTGTTTCTCTCTACCTCCCTTCTCTTTCTAAAATCAGTCAATAAAAAGAATATCCCTGGCTGGTGGTGTCGGTGGTTATAGTGTTGGCCCACTCACTGACTCAATTCCTGGTCAAGGGCACACACCTGGGTTACAGATTCAATCCCTGCCATGGTTGGGACCCATGTGGAAGGCAACCAATCAATGCGTCTCTCACATTGGGGTGTGTGTGTGTGTGTGTGTGTGTGGCCCGATACCCGCCCTCCCACTGTAAAAAGCAATGGAAAAAATATCCTCAGATGAGCATTAACAAAAGTAATATATCTTCTTTTTAATGTATTTTTATTGGCCCAGCTGGTTTGGCTAAGTGAATAGAGCATCGGCCTGTGGACCAAAGGGTAAAAGGTTCGATTCTGGTCAAGGGTTCGTACCTTGGTTGCAGGCTCCTCCCCTGGCCAGGGCTCCTGCAGGAGGCAACCAATCAATGTATTTCTCTCACATAGATGTTTCTCTGTCTTTCCCTCTCTCTCCCACTCTCCCTAAAAGTCAATGGAAAAATATCCTCGGTTGAGGATTAACAAAAAATGTATATATTTTTTTATTTTTCAGAGAGGAAGGGAGAGGGAGAGAAGTATAGAAACATAAATGATGAGAGTGAATCATTGATCTGCTGCCTCCTGCATGCTCCACACTGGGGATCAAGCCCACAATCCAGGCACAGGAATCAAACCATGAACTCCTGGTTCATAGGTCAATGCTCAACCACTGAGCCATGCTGGCTGGGCTAAATAAAAAAAATATTTTAATGAAAGTTTAGGCCAAGATCTGATGGACAAGCAGAAGTTAAACAACAGATATTTACTGGCACTCTTTGGCAGTCCCTATAGTAGTACATGGTCCCTAGTGGATATAGAGGTCCAAGATGATACTCTAATGGGCAACAGCACAAGAGTAACAGGCCTGATTTCATGTTAGAAGGATGACTAACGAAGTGTGGGCTGCAGGTGGGGTTTAGGTTAGAGACAGATCAGAATGACATTTGCTAGATTCTAAGGTTGGGAAGGCAGAGACCCTATCTGCCTTTCTGTACTTGTCTCTTCTGCTACTGGTATAAACAGTCCATGTGCAAGCTGTGGAAATAGTGGCTGAGATAGAGCAGTAAGAACTATATTGTATTTCATGGAATATATATACTTTTAAGACATTTTTTTAAAAATATATATTTTATTGATTTTTTTACAGAGAGGAAGGGAGAGGGATAGAGAGTCAGAAACATCGATGAGAGAGAAACATCGATCAGCTGCCTCCTGCACACCCCCCACTGGGGATGTGCCCACAACCAAGGCACATGCCCCTGACCGGAATCGAACCTGGGACCCTTCAGTCCGCAGGCCGACACTCTATCCACTGAGCCAAACTGGTCAGGGCTTAAGACATTTTTTATGCACTAAGATAATGCTTGCCAAATTGTGACACTCCCGTTAGTCGTGAATCTGATCTCAGTGTTTAAAAATGTGCATCTTAAGAATCAATGAAATATATTCATGCACCACATAATGATGTTCCAGTTAACAGACCAAATATACAACAGTGGTCCCATCTATAATAATACAAGCTTAACATGCTAATTAGACCAGACAGCCGAACAACCTTCTGGATGACCTTCCAGACAAAGCCGGGGCTGTGAGGGCCAAGGCAGGCACTGCAGCTGCAAGGGCTGAGCCCCTTGCATGAATTTTGTGCATCAGGCCTCTAGTCTGTATCTATATATATAAAAGGTTAAGTGTTTGTCTGACCGGTAGCTATGATGTGCAATGACCACCAGGGGGCAGACGCTCAACGCTGGAGCTACCATGATACACCCTGGCCATTTAAAAATAAACAATAACACGGACCTGGTGCTGATAAACAAACACTCAGCTTCCCCCAAGTGGTGGTGGATACAGGCCCCACCACCCCAGAGTGACACCCCACCAAATCGCTGCCAAGACCCCATGTCACAAAATACAGCCCACATCCCAGCCCAGCCCGGAAACAGTCACTGTAGGCACCTGGTAATGATGTCACATAACGCCTGGCTTCCTCTCCCTAGCAACTAGCCTCCTTGTAGTTTCTTCAGCCCAGGAACCCAACTTGCTTTATAGCAGCCAGGTACAAACATTTTACAGTTTAACCAAGTGTTTGTGAAGCATTTTCCCGTACCTCATCTCATTTGATCCTCACAGAAGTCCTGGAGTAGGTAGATAGGAGACTTTTATTAGAAAACAGAGATGTAGAAAGCTTAGAAACTTGACCCAACTGGAAAGAAGTAAGAAATGGTGGAACTTGCCCTAACCAGTTTGGCTCAGTGGATAGAGCGTTGGCCTGCAGACTGAAGGGTCCCACAATCGATTATGGTCAAGGGCATGTACCTCGGTTGCAGGCACATCCCCAGTGGGAGGTGTGCAGGAGACAGCTGATCAATGTTTCTAACTCTCTATCCCTCTCCCTTCCTCTCTGTAAAAAAATCAATAAAATATATATATATTTTTAAATGATGGAACTTAGCCCTGGCCGGTTTGGCTCAGTGGATAGAGCGTTGACCTATGGACTGAAGGGTCCCAGGTTCAATTCCGGCCAAGGGCACATGCCTGGGTTGTGGGCTCGATTCCCAGTAGGGGGTGTGCAGGAGGCAGCTGATCAATGATTCTCATCATTGATGTTTCTATCTAT